CTACTTTTGTATTAAAATGAAAACTGGCCTTTTCCAGTCCTGTGGGCACTGCTGAGTTTTCTACATTTGCTGACATATTGAGTGCAGCACTTTAACAGCATTATCTTTTAGGATTTTAAATAGCTCAGCTGGAATTCCATCACCTCAGCTTGTTTTGTTCTCAGTAATGCTTCAAAAGGTCCCCTTTGACTTCATACTCCAGGATGTCTGACTCTAGGTGGGGGATCACACCATCATGGCTGTCAGGGTCATTAGGACCTTTTCTTGCACAGTTCTTCTGCAGGTTCTTGCCACCTCTTCTTAAAATCTTCTGCTTTGTTAGATTCATACCATTTCTGTCCCTCTTTGTGTCCATGTTCACATGAAATGTTCCTTGGTATCTCTAAGTTTCTTGAAGAGATCGCTGGACTTTCCCATTCTATTGCTTTCCTCAATTTCTTTACATTATTCATTTAGGGTCTTCTTATCTCTCCTTGCTATTTTCTAGAGGTCTGCATGCAGTTGGGTATATCTTTCCTTTTCTCCCTTGCTTTTTCCTTTTCTTCTCATCTCAGCTAGCTGTAGGGCCTCCTCAGAAACCATTTTGCCTTTTTGCATTTCTTTTTCTTTTCTCTCTCTCTCTCTTTTTTTTTTTAACATTTCTTTTTCTTGGGGATGGTTTTGATCACTGCCTCCTGTACCAAACCAGGGCTTCCCTGGTGGATCATCTGCAGTGCGGGAGAGCGGGTTTGATCTTTGGGTTGGAAAGAGTCCCTGGAGAAGGGAACAGCTACCCACTTCAATATTCTGGCCTGGGGAATTCCATGGACTGTATAGTCTATGGGGTACTAGAGTCGGACATGACTGAGCAACTTTCACTTCACTTCCTGTACAATATTACAAACCTCTGTCTATAATTCTTCAGGCATTCTATCAGGTCTAATCATTTGATTTTTTTTTTTTTTTTTTTTTTTTTTTTTTTTTGGTCACTTCCACTGTAGATCTTGTAGATTTTGCTCACTTCCACAAGAGATCTGATTTATGTCATAACTTAATAGCCTAGTGGTTTTTCCTGCTTTCTTCATTTTAATTCTGAATTTGGCAATAAGGATTTCATGATCTGAGACACAGTCAGCTCCTGGTATTGTTTTGCTGATTGTATACAGCTCCTCCATCTTTGGCTGCAAAGAATATAATAAATCTGATTTCTGTTGACCATCTGGTGATGTCTATGTGTAGCAATGTTTCTTGTGATGGAAGAGGGTATTTGTTATGGCGTCCACTATTTTGGCAAAACTCTGTTGGCCTTTGCCCTATTTCATTTTTTACTCCAAGGCCAAGCTTGTCTGTTACTTCAGGTATCTCTTGATTTCCTAATTTTGCTTTCCAGTCCCCTATGATGAAAAACACATCTTTTTTTGGTGTTAGCTCTAGAAGATTTTTTAGGTCTTCAGAGAACCATTCAACTTCAGCTTTTTCAGCATTTCTGGTTGGGGCATAGATTTTTATTACTGTGATATTGAACTGTTTGCCTTGGCAATGAACTGAGATCAATTTGACATTTTTGGGATTGCACCCAAGTTCTGTGTTTGACTCTTTTATTAACTATGAGGGTTACTCCATTTCTTCTAAGGGATTCTTGTCCACAGTAGTAGATATAATGGTCATCTGAATTAAATTCACCTATTCCAGTCCATTTAAGTTCACTGATTCCTGAAAAGTCGATGTTCACTCTTGCAGTCTCCTGTTTGACCATCTCCAATTTACTTTGATTCATGGACCTAACTTTCTAGGTTCCTATGCAATATTGTTCTTTACACCCTCACACTTTACTTTCACCACCAGACACATCCAGAACTGGGTGTCATTTCTGCTTTGGCTCACCCTCTTCATTCCTTCTGGAGCTATTTCTCCTTTCTTCTCCAGTAGCATTTTGGGCAGCTACTGACCTGTGGAGTCCATCTTTCAGTGTTATATCTTTTTTTTTTTTTTTTTTTTTTTGCCTGTTCATACTGTTCATATGCTTCTCAAGGCAAGCATGCTGAAGTGGTCTGACATTCCCATCTCCAGTGGACCGTGTTTTGTCAGAACTCTCCACCATGACCTGTCTGTCTTGGTTGCCTTATGCAGCATGGCTCATAGTTTCATTTAGCTAGACAAGGCTGTAATCCAGTTGATCAGTTTGGCTTGTTTTCTGTGATTGTGGTTTTCATTAGCCTCCCCTCTGATGGATGAGGATAAGAGGCTTGTGGAAGCTTCTTGGTCGGAGGAACTGGTGATATTTAAGCATTAAAAGTAAACATACAAGCATTAAAAGTAAGATACATAGAGGAAGCTTCAGACTAGAAAAGCACAAGGATTCATAGCAGAAAGAATAAATTAATGCATACTAAACTGTCACTCTGTGTTAGTGCTTCATGAATCTTGGATGGAAGATGCTTACATCTACTGTAGTTGTTGAAATCTGGAAATTTTGGATAGAAACTATCTTTTTCCAAAAGTATCTATTGCTGTAGAGCTCCTAATAATGTTCAGTTTGAGGTTTCTATTAGGAATCAACTTCTTGTGATTCTGCGAGATAAACACGTTTCTTTTAATTAAGACATATAAATCCAAGGACTGATTCATTACAATATCACTGTTACACTAATGACTAGCATTTGATAGGAACCTCTCTGTCAAAATTCAAGAGCTGTTAAGTGACATCTATTACAAAACATCCTGTTTAATATTTTCACCTTTCACTCTTCACATATGATCTATCAACAAACACCTTAAATCTATATAACATAAAGGAGCTTCTAATAAACCTACTTATGGCAGGAATAGCTTGCAATCAGAAGCCAGACAGTTATGAGTTTTCTCTTTATCCAATAATGGAAGAAGAAATTCTTTTCAATCTTAGAGTAATGAAAGGAAATGTATAGAGACTGAAGCACAATTTCATTGGCTGTAAGCTTATTTATTGAATAACATGGTGTTAGTTTCAATAAGCAGCAGAAAAAACGTCAGTCTTAAACAGACAAACAACAGCAACAACAACAGCCTAAAATCCAGCTAGCAGATACATCCAATAGTTTGATGTTTGTGGGTATTGCCTTAGGCAAGATGGATGAAAAGTGAAACTATAGTAAAAGTTTGGTTTCTAATGGCTATACAAACTTAGTTCTTTTTGACTCTAGAAATTCTCTTTTTAGTAAACCTCTTTGTATCCGTGTTTTGGTGGTTGCTTTAGGTATTATTCGGAGAAGGCAATGGCACCCCACTCCAGTACTCTTGCCTGGAAAATCCCCTGGACGGAGGAGCCTGGTAGGCTGCAGTCCACGGGGTCGCTAGGAGTCGGACACGACTGACTTCACTTAATGGCTATCATGGCATTGAGCCAGAGCTGCAGTGGCTTATCCAGACCTCTCATATAAGAGATAATATTTATGATAATTAGAAAGAGAAAAAGGAAGGAGGAAAGAAATCAGAGCTTGGATCCAATAGAAGACTTATGTCACCGGCACAGCCATAACGTCTCCTAAGTGGGAAGATTGTGGGGACTCAGAGGAGTGAACTATTTCCCAGACAGCGTCTTTGAGAAGGCTTTGATTACATTTTTATGGGAACTGAGATTTGTCAAACATTGGTTCCCACAAAATGCCACTAAAATAATTTGTCAACAATGTAATTATGAGCTTATTTTTAGTGCAGAAAGGGAGAGAACAGCCTGGATAGATTCTTAGTGTCCTAGGCAATGTTGGGCAAATTTGGAATATTTACATCGCTTTCAATTCTGCTGTGAAATGTGCATTCCAACATGGAAGCATGATTAGGATTGAGAAAAAGATCATGAGAGAATTGTTACAGAATGGAGAACAGAGAGAGAAGGATTTTAAAACAAGGGCTTCTAAGAGGCTTGGGAATAAACAGCCATTTAATGTCTATAGCATATTGACTAAATTTTGCTGCTGACAAAAATTTTGGCAGGAAGTTGTTAGAGAAAACTTTTTCATGACACTTGTTAAAAGCAGTAGGAATGACTTTATTAAACAGTGACTATTTCAATGGGGGTTTTGTAGAAAAGAGTCATTAAGCTTAAATTTGCATATAACAAGGACAAGTAAGAATTTATAGACATGGAACAGGGTCTGTGGATGGAAAATTACTAAGAGGAAATTTCAGGACTAGAGACAGTTCTTACTAAACTAACTTCACAGGATCCTTGCTGAAGGTAGGACAGAGTGATAAGATATCCAGGGATAAGCAATTTGACCAGATGAAATGGGTGATCAGATAGCAAGGGAGGGAGATTTTTGTTAGGTCATCTCAACTCAGCAGGATTCTTGCTAAAACTGGACTAACTGGGCAAGGGACAGAACTCAAGGTCAGGGCCTAGCAAACAAGAGGGCTAAGAGGAGCTGCACTCAAGTTTGGTCCAAGAGAGAGTCTTCACAAGGGTGACTGAGGGGGTTGGAGGGGTTATGTATAAAGGACAGTAAAGTCATTGGCAATTACTTATCTTTCTTAGATGAGTTTCCTGAAATAGTCAAGTCAGGTTATTAGAGATGGTGGAATAAAATTATGTGACTGTTGTGGTCTGTACACAGGTTGGAAAAGAATTTACAGACATGAGACAGAATGAGAGGGAAATAAAATCTATTAGAGTGGGAGACACTGTTAGAATAGCAGGCCAGTTGAAGGGAGAACAGATATTGAACAGGGGTCCTTTATGAATTTTTATACCCAGGGTACAAGGAGCAGGATAGGGATCTTTGCAGATCATTGGCTGATTGGATGAGGCAGGTATACTGGATGGCGGGGTGGGAGGGGGGGAAGTAAGGCAAATACTTTCTCCCTATGGGGTAGAAAGGAAGACAGCTTATACTGCTCAAAAGGACCTTAAATCTGTTAATAGTTACAAAAAGGTGGGGGGTGGTGGGGAGAAGTATGATAAGGGTCTGTTTTTTTCCATTCCTGCATTCTGCATTCCAAGATCTTCCTTGTTTTGTTTTGTTTTGTTTTGTTTTGTTTTGTTTTTCTTTCTTTCTTTCTCTCTTTCTTTCTTTTTCTTTCTTTCTGTTCTTTCATCCTTGGGACCCCACAGTGACTAGCTGAAAGTTAAAATAATGTAAATAATATGTTACCTGGGAATAGCTGATTTCTACTGTCACGACTCATATAAATAGCATTTGACAATCCAAATTAAGGGGAATAAGAATGCCATTCAGTGTTTCACTTAAGGGCTCATCAGCTAAGAGTGGAGAATGTCCCTTTAATCCCACCTTATATCTTAAAGTAGCATGTTAGTCTACGTTTCTCAAAACTCATTTTAAAACTTGTTTTGAAACAGTATAGAAATGGTATAGCTTGTCATGTTAGAATGAAGATACACATTGTAGCAATTGTTTTGCTTTCAGGTTCAGGAACCGAGGAAAACTTAGATAAGAATTGAGAAGCAATATCCTTCAATAAAAACTGGACTGATAATTTCACAAGAACATTGCTGAAATACTGCTTCCTCTAATTTCTTGTCTCATTCAGTTCAGTTCAGTCTCTCAGTCGCGTCCCACTCTTTGCAACCCCATGAACCACAGCACGCCAGGCTTCCCTGTCCATCACGAACTACCGGAGTTCAACAAAACCCATTTCCATTGAGTCGGTGATGCCATCCAACCATCTCATCCTCTGTCATCCCCTTCTCCTCCTGCCTTCAATCTTTCCCAGCATCAGGGTCTTTCCCAGTGAGTCAGCTCTTCACATTAGGTAGCCAAAGTTTTGGAATTTCAGCTTCAACATCAGTCCTTCCAACAAATATTCAGGACTGATTTCCTTTAGGATGAACTGGTTGGAACTCCTTGCAATATAAGGGACTCTCAAGAGTCTTCTCTAACACCACAATTCAAAAGCATCAATTCTTCAGTGCTCAGGTTTCTTTATAGTCCAACTCTCACAACCACACATGACCACTGGAAAAACCATAGCCTTGACTAGACCGACCTTTGTTGACAAAGTAATGTCTCTTCTTTTTAATATGCTGTCTAGGTTGGTCATAACTTTCCTTCCAAGGAGTAGGCATCTTTTAATTTCATGGCTACAATCACCATCTGCAGTGATTTTGGATCCCAGAAAAATAAAGTCAGCCACTGTTACCACTGTTTCACCATCTATTTGCCATGAAGTGATGAGACCATATGCCATGCTCTTAGTTTTCTGAATGTTGAGCTTTAAGCCAACTTTTTCACTCTCCTGTTTCACCTTCATCAAGAGACTCTTTAGTTCTTCTTCACTTTCTGCTATAAGGGTGGTGTCATCTGCATATCTGAGGTTATTGATATTTCTTGAAGCAGCTTTGATTCCAGCCTGTGCTTCCTCCAGCCCAGCATCTCTCATGATGTACTCTGCATATAAGTTAAATAAGCAGGATGACAATATACAGCCTTGATGTACTCCTTTCCCTATTTGGAACCAGTCTGCTGTTCCATGTCCAGTTCTAACTGTTGCTTCCTGACCTGCATCACAGGTTTCTCAAGAGGCAGGTCAGGTGGTCTGGTATTCCCACCTCTTTCAGGATTTTCCACAGTTTATTGTGACCCACACAGTCAAAGGCTTTGGCATAGTCAATAAAGCAGAAATAGATGTTTTTCTGGAACTCTCTTGCTTTTTCGATGATCCAGTGGATGCTGGCAATTTGATCTCTGGTGCCTCTGACTTTTCAAAAACCAGCTTAGACAGATGAAAGTTCACGGTTCACGTATTGCTGAAACCTGGCTTGGAGAATTTTAAGCATTACTTTACTAGCATGTGAATTGTGCGGTAGTTTGAGCATTCTTTGGCACTGCCGTTCTTTGGGATTGGAATGAAAACTGACCTTTTCCAGTCCTGTGGCCACTGCTGAGTTTTCCAAATTTGCTGGCATATTGAGTGCAGCACTTGCACAGCATCATCTTTCAGGATTTGAAATAGCTTAACTGGAATTCCATCACCTCCACTACCTTTGTTCGTAGTGATGCTTTCTAAGGTCCATTTAACTTCACATTCCAAGATGTCTGGCTCTAGGTGAGTGATCACACCATCGTGATTTTCTGGGTCGTGAAGATCTTTTTTTGTACAGTTCTTCTGTGTATTCTTGCCATCTTTTCTTAATATCTTCTGCTTCTGTTAGGTTCCTACCATTTCTGTCCTTTATTGAGCCCATCTTTGCATGAAATGTTCCCTTGGTAGCTCTAATTTTCTTGAAGAGATCTCTAGTCTTTCCCATTCTACTGTTTTCCTCTATTTCTTTGCATTGATCACTGAGGAAGGCTTTCTTATCTCTTGTCTCATTAACATCTAGCTATTAATGTTGCTTAATTAGTCTAATTAAGGAAGATAATACCTAACTTACTGACCTAAAATTTTAATACTAACTGAAGATACCTGTTTTAAAACCACTTATAATTGTATCTTTATATTTGAAATTACTGTATGCACAGTTGCAAATTTTGCATAGTCTTAACTTAGTTATATAATTTCTCAATTGCAGTAAGTATATATTTATTTTGCCTTTAAGATGTTAACCTATCTAGCATGCCTTTATAACATGTGACAAGATTTAAGGAATTTTCATATGCATCAACTCATTTGAACTATAAAACAATTCTTGACTCAGGAAAGGAAGGAAGATTTTTGTATATAGTGTACAAAGTAGAACTTGAAATACATAAAAAAAAATATCATATCTGATCAGTGAGGTATTAAATGAAGTAATGTTGTGAATAGCTAGATTTTTTTTATTATCCACCTAAATACTCTTTCATTTATTTATTCTTAATCTATACCTCAATTCTATAATTTTAAAATTAACATGTATGATAAATGAAGGACTCTTCATAGGTCATTTTACAAAGGTGTTTTTCTCAAGAAAAGCATACACATGTAAATGGTGAAATTTAAAATGTACTCTCTGACCATAAAGAAAGTAGGCAGATTTCCAGGTTTTCCCAGGACTCTAACATTTCAATAAAAACTGCCAATAAAGAAATGAAAGAGGTTTTTAGTTTTTGTTTTCCCCCCTATGGATGTCAAGCCTTTTTTGTATAACAAGAAAGCAGACTAAGTTTCTTAATCATTATTATTATTCTAGAACTTGGAGGTGGACACATGATTAAAATTTTATTTTAAATTGCAGACACTCTTATAGCAAAGCATTTAGAGAACTCATTGAAATTCCTTACTCTTTCACGTTGCTACCATTAGCTAGACACATTCACTGTCAAGGAAAATGAGGAAGAAGAAAAATTTGGGTTTTGACATGCAAATGAGTCCCCTAAGCTCCTCACTTTGCTTTAGAATTTTTATATCTCAGCTGTCACAACATCAATTCTTGAAGCAAAGTAGGTGCATTGTGACATCACTTAATACAGGGATTCTAAAGTTAAATAAGGTGTGTGATGTGGCTATTTGTACATAACATGTAAAATATTCATCCAGGCTTTTGCTTGAATCTAAAAGATTTAGGTGGACAGGCCTAAATGTAAAGGAATTACCATGCTAAATCAGAGCCATGGTCCATCTAGCATTGCAATAAGTAACAAACAGAAGTTTTAAATATCTTTAGGTTTGCCCTTCCTCAAGCAATATTGAATGCTAAATGTCCTAGGACATCAATATATGGAAGCAACATGTATGGAAAGAAGTCATCATCTATTTTCAGATATAAACTGAAGTCTGGATTTTCTAGTGAGTTACACTGGTTACTTTTCACAAACCGTTTTATGTAGATGATTTTATTATAATACTATTTTTTTCTTTTTTGCTTTCAATGCTTTTTGTAACATTATACCAGTGGAGACTCTATGATACAATTTAAGGAATAGACACATTCATCATTAAAACATAGTGGAGAGTCCCAAAAAAGATATTTATTCAAATAAAAGATTAATGTGTAAGAATGCCAATACTGCAGGTGATTTTTAAATTCTTTTTTCATATTCTTTTCCCATTTAGGTTGTTACATAATATTGAGCATAATTCCCTGTATATAATACTTTAATAATGAGGAAACAGACATTTGGAGAAGTCAGGAAAGTAACTAATGTCTCAAAGTTACTTAAGTGGCAGAGTAAATATTTAAGTCATATTTGTATTTTTCACCACAAAATTCCTCAATTTCCTCCTCAAGTTTCTTTTTATCTAGAATGTTCTTCCCCATCATCTTAATTGCACTAAAATCTAATCTCTTTAGGAAAAAAAAAATCTGATAGTTACATCTATATCCATATATATGTTTTCTGATAAAACTGTCCCTAACTTCCTACAAATGAGTTGATGCTTCTTCTTGATGATCTCATGTTCTTAATAAACATATAACACATCTAATAATAGTTAAATGCATATGCCTTTCTTTCTTACCAGATAGTGTGCTCCTTGATGGTTAGCCTAGTCAGTCTCAATCTTTAATCATGATTATGTCAGGTAGTTAGAATAGGAAAAGGAGTCCAAAATGATGGTGGTAAAAGACAAAGGGGAAAAGCCCAAGAAGAGGAAACAGAGAAAAAGTCCCCAGACCTGAATGAGAACCTCAGGTGAAACAGACACACCCCCTTCCTGGCTAGCCCTAATGTCCATAGGGCAGGCTCAGAGGGGAGAAGACCAAACATATAAAAAGAGGGGGCTAAGACAGATTGAGTCCTCTCTTCAGGGTTAGCCCACTCTCACACCTCAAGGGTGCAAGGTTGTACTATGTTTGTTTACTGAATAAAACTCAAGCTGCAACTTAGCTGTAACATTTGTCCACCAGTTCAAATCCTTGTTGTGGTGAGGCTGAACCAAGGAAATTATACACTCTCCTGAGAGTTATACCCCAGTTGGCTAACAGTGGTTTGTCACTTAGAAGATACTCATTAAATGTTTAATTTATGAATGAAAGAACTAATGCCTCAAGTGTATTATAGGAGAAACTGCACCACTTTATTAGCTCTGATAAGTCTTCAGTTTTTGCTTTCTTTAAAATAAATTGTGGAATTATAGACTAGCCACCATTCATGTAATTTGGTCATGTCATTTCAGACTTACATGACTCATCAGTTTCCTTTTAATTTATACAGGAAGTGCCCTATATATGAAAGAGTTCTGTTATGAGAGTACATTCATAAGTATAATTTGCTTGTAAGTCCTACAGATTTAGCCTAGATACTCAACTAACACATTCAGCTATACAGTACTATACTATATTAGGTTTATAATACTTTTCACACAAATAATAAATGAAAAACAAACACAAAAATAAGGAAAATAGTTTAAACTTTACAATACAATATTTTGAACAATACAGTAATACAGCACCATGAGCTGCCATAGATGGGCTGGCATTGAGTGAACAGGTGAGCAGAGTTACTGACTGGAGAAAGGAGTAGATATGGGAGATAGCAGAGCTGAAGGATCATGAGAAATAGGAGATGGAGGGCAAGCTATAATTTCACTTATGCCTGAAATTGATGGAACACATGCTCACATCTTTGAAATTTCACAACTTGAAGGTTCATACATGGGGGATTTACTATACTAAGACACTCAGGTCCCCTCCAGGTTGTCAGCTATTCATGTTATTCATCCATGAACTCTTGTAAAACATATTCCAGCTTCTCCTCTCCTTACCCTGCAACAACATGTAGTGCTCAACAAACAATTTAGAGCTTGCTAGTCATGAATCTGTGCTATTTTTAAGATATTTATCTGGTGGCAACTGTTGGGATGGCAGGAATAATGAATCAAGTAGAACATTGAATATGTTTCTACCACCTAATTTGATAAGAATGCTACAGGATTTTAGTAGGCTATGGCATTAACTTCATCTTTAGACTAATGAACCCATTTGAAGTACAATGAATTGTATGACCTAAGATAAATAAAATTAAATCTCTTCAGCCTCACCTTTCCTTTATAAAATCAGAAAGACAAATAACTGTAGCTCAGAATTGTCTTGAAAATTAATAAATAATGTGTGTTAAACTCTGTACTCCAAAGATGGTACACAATGTCATGGTTCTTTTTCTCAAAAGTTATTTTCCACTTAAGAGGTCTCTTTCTTTAGAATTTCTCATTTATAACAGCCTTTGTGGTAGGCAAAGCCAAAATAAATACTGGCATTTTTTTAAAAAAACTTTTTCCTCCACTTCCACACACTACTGTTAACCATATTCTTCTCCTCTTTATTTTCTTTCCCAAAATTTCATATTAAATGTGATCATTGTGTCTCTGGCTTGAGCTCGACCAGAGTGAATATGTAGGACGCAGGAGGAACTGATTAGGCTGCTTATCCTGCTATTTTTCCTTTAATAATTCTTTCTCTGAATAGATTCTCATTTATACACCTTTTTCTTACTGTTCTCTTTCCCCTCTCTTCATTTGTATTGATGCTTGCAATATCTCTTAAAGTAGCCAAGCTTTTTTATAAATTCTCTCAGTATGTACCCTTCATTTGAGAAAATAAAAGTGATGAATGTAGTTTTTAAAAAAAATAAAGTAGTCCCAGTTGTAGGGCAATTACCTTTTATAGATCCCAAACTTGTTCAGACCCACCAAGCTATTTACTGGCTGACAACCCCAGGCCTTTCTTCCAGGTCAGTTGATCAGTAAGTGTCAAAATAGTTTAACGATGTATTTTCTTCTCTACATTGTATCAGAAATTCTCACTTTTACATAAAGTTAAATATATAGAATTTGAGACTCGTTCTTGGTTGTCAATTCTAGGTGATCCTTAATGTTTTTATGTCTAGATATTGAGACACTACCAAATAAGGCAGAGAATGTTGAAAGAGGGAGATATGATTAAAAAAACTGGGCAAATAAATGCAACAAGAAATGAAAAATATTTCTAAAGTCATCTGGGTTTGTTTAAACTTGTGGCCGAGTTAGTGTTACACTTGACTGTCACAGGAGATGTCAATCTTATCACAAGCAGGGAATACACCTTAGTAAGCACGGTTAGCATGTGTAGTCCTCTTCATGGATCATAGCCTTGTCATAGTGAAAGAACTTGCAAAACTCAGGTAAATAAGATGTGGTTAAGCAGGAATATCTGAGAAATCAATGAACTAAAATGAATGGAAATGGGTAAATTTAATTCAGGTGACCATTATATCTACCACTGTGGACAAGAATCTTTTATTAGAAGTGGAATAGACCTATTAGTCAACAAAAGAGTCTGATGAAGTACTTGGGTGCAATCTCAAAAATGACAAAATGAACTCTGCTCAATTCCAAGGCAAGTCATTCAACATCACAGTAATCCAAGTCTAGCCTCAACCAGTGATTCTGAAGAAGCTGAAGTTGAGTGATTCTATGAAGACCTATAAGACCTTCTAGATCTAATACCAAAAATAAAAAAATAAAATAATTTTCAACACAAGGGATTAGAAGGCAAAAGTAGGAAGGCAAGAGATAACTGGAGTAACAAGCAGGTTTGGCCTTGGAATACAAAATGGAGCAGGGCAAAAACTAACAGAGATTTCTCAAAAGAAAACACTGGTCATAGCGTACACATCTCCAACAATGCATGAAACAACTCTATACATAGACATCACCAAATGGTCAATATTGAAATCAGATTGATTACATTCTTTGCAGCTGAAGATGGAGAACTGAATTTGGAAATCTCAGCAATGGCCACAAAACTGGAAAAGGTCAATTTTCATTCCAATCCCAAAGAAAGGCAATGCCAAAGAATGCACAAACTACCTCACAATTATACTCATTTCACACACTAATAAAGTAATGCTCAAAATTCTCTAAGCCAGCCTTCAACAATACGTGAACTGTGAACTTCCAGATGTTCAAACGTGTTATTGAAAAGGCAGATAAACCAGAAATCAAATTGTCAGCATCCATTGGATTATAGAAAAAGCAAGAGAGTTCCAGAAAAACATCTATTTCTGCTTTATTGACTATGCTAAAGCCTTTGAATGTGTGGATCACAATAAACATTGGAAAATTCTGAAAGTGATGGGAATATCAGACCACCTGACCTGCCTCTTGAGAAACCTGTGATGCAGGTCAGGAAGCAACAGTTAGAATTGGACATGGAACCAAGGACTGGTTCCAAATAGGGAAAGGAGTACATCAAGGCTGTGTATTGTCACCTTGTTTATTTAACTTCTATGCAGAGTACATCAAGAGAAACACTGGGCTGGATGAAGCACAAGCTTCATCTTGAAACACAAGCTTCAAGATTGCAATGAGAAATATCAATAACCTCAGATATGCAGATGACACCACCCTTAGAGCAGAAAGTGAAGAAGAACTAAAGAC